TTGGCCATTGGGAGATGGGTTTTGGCCATTGGGAGATGGGGTTTGGCCATTGAGAAGTGAGTTTTGGCCATTGGGAGATGGGGCTTGGCCATTGAGAGATGGGTTTTGACCACTGGGAGATGAGTTTTGGCCATTGGGAGATGGGGTTTGGCCATTGGGAGATGGGGATTGGCCATTGAGAGATGGGGTTTGGCCATTGAGAGATGCGTTTTGGCCATTGAGAGATGGGGTTTGGCCATTGGAAGATGGGTTTTGGCCATTGAGAGATGGGGTTTGACCATTGGAAGATGGGTTTTGGCCATTGAGAGATGGGGTTTGGCCATTGGGAGATGGGGATTGGCCATTGGGAGATGGGGTTTGGCCATTGGGAGATAGCGTTTGGCCATTGAGAGATGGGGTTTGGCCATTGGGAGATGGCGTTTGGCCATTGGGAGATGGGGTTTGGCCATTGGAAGATGGGGTTTGGCCATTGAGAGATGGGTTTTGACCACTGGGAGATGAGTTTTGGCCATTGGGAGATGGGGTTTGGCCATTGAGAGATGCGTTTTGACCATTGGGAGATGAGTTTTGGCTATTGGGAGATGGGGTTTGGCCATTGGGAGATGGGGATTGGCCATTGGGAGATGGGGTTTGGCCATTGAGAGATGGGGTTTGGCCATTGAGAGATGGGGTTTGGTCATTGGGAGACGGGGTTTGGCCATTGAGAGACGGGGTTTGGCCATTGAGAGGTGAGTTTTGGCCATTGGGAGATAGGGCTTGGCCATTGAGAGATGGGTTTTGACCATTGGGAGGTGAGTTTTAGCCATTGGGAGATGGGTTTTGGCCATTGGGAGATGGGGATTGGCCATTGAGAGATGGGGTTTGGCCACTGAGAGATGGGGTTTGGCCATTGAGAGATGGGGATTGGCCATTGAGAGATGGGGTTTGGCCATTGAGAGATGGGGTTTGGCCATTGAGAGATGAGTTTTGGCCATTGGGAGATGGTGTTTGGCCATTGGGAGATGGGGATTGGCCATTGAGAGATGGGGTTTGGCCATTGGGAGATGCGTTTTGGCCATTGGGAGGTGGGGTTTGGCCATTGGGAGATGGCGATTGGCCATTGGGAGATGGGGTTTGGCCATTGAGAGATGGGGTTTGGCCATTGAGAGATGGGGTTTGGCCATTGGAAGATGGGGTTTGGCCATTGGAAGATGGGGTTTGGCCATAGGGAGATGGGGTTTGGCCATTGAGAGATGGGGTTTGGCCATTGAGAGATGGGGTTTGGCCATTGAGAGATGGGTTTTGGCCATTGGAAGATGGGGTTTGGCCATAGGGAGATGGGGTTTGGCCATTGAGAGATGGGGTTTGGCCATTGAGAGATGCGTTTTGGCCATTGGGAGATGGATTTTGGCCATTGGGAGATGCTTTTTGACCACCTCAAGCTGCTTTTGCCCCCCTGGGCGCTGCTTTATGGCCCCTGCCCAACCCCGATCCCCATCCCCTGCGCTCTCCCCCCAGGCTGTGCATCGTGAACGACGAGCTCTTCGTGCGCAACGCCACGACGGAGGAGCTGCGCAAAGCGTTCCTGCTGCCCGCGCCCACCCCCTCCTCCAGCCCCGTGCCCACGCTGGCGGCCGAGCAGCAGGAGATGCTGGCGGCCTTCGCCATGCAGTCGGGCATGAACCTCGAGTGGTCCCAGAAGTGAGTCCGGGGGGGGTTAAATGGGGTTTAGGGAAGGTCAGATGGGGTCTGGGGGGGTTCAATGAGGGTGGGAGGGGTCAGATGGGGTCTGGGAGCAATGAGATGGGGTCTGGGGGGGGGGGTCAGATGGGGTCTGTGGGGGTTAAATGGGGTCTGGGGGGGGTTAAATGGGGTCTGGGGGCGGTCAGATGGGGTTTGGAAGGGTCTGGGGTGGGTCAGATGGGGTTTGGAAGGGTCTGGGGGGGATCACATGGGGTTTGGAAGGGTCGGGGGGGTCAGATGGGGTTTGGAAGGGTCTGGGGGGGTCAGGTGGGGTTTGGAAGGGTCTGGGGGGGTCAGGTGGGGTTTGGAAGGGTCAGAGGGCTCTGGGCAGGGACCCCTTTGCTCCATGGGGTGGTCTCCAATGTCTCCTCCATCCTCTCCCCTCCCAGGTGCCTGCAGGACAATGACTGGGACTATGGCCGTGCTGGGCAGGTCTTCACCCAGCTCAAGGTGCATGGGGGGGTCCGAGCCCCCTTTGACCCCCATCTGCCCCCCACTAAAGCCCCTCTGAACCCCCCATCCCAGACCCCCTCTGACCCCTCTGTTCTCTCTTGCAGCTGGAAGGGAAGATCCCGGAGGTGGCGTTCCTCAAGTGAGCGCCTCCCCTCCCCCCCCCCCCCCCTCCCCCCACCCGTTCCTAGCGTTTTATTCCTCTCGTTTTGTAAATAAACCGTTCCCGGCCCCGTTCCAACGCGGCGCGTTCTGGGGGCGCGGCGCCTTTAAGAGGGGGGGGAGTCGAGGTCAGAGCGCGGCACAACGATGGCGGCGGAGAGCCGGAAGTGAAGGGCTGAAAGGAACCGGAAGTGGAAAGGGGTCAAGATGGCGGCGCCCAGGAGCCGGGCTGCCGCCGCCGCCGCCTTAGCGCTGGAGGTGGCGGCGGCCCCGCCGAAGGACGTGGTTCTGTTCCGGCACGACCGGGACCGGTTCTTCCGCCTGGCCGGTCTCTTCTGCGCGGGGCAGGCGCTCTTCTGGGGATACCTGGCTCATTTCGCTTTCACGGCGCTGCGGCCTGCGCCCGGCCCCTCGCCGGGCCCCGAGGATCCCTTCCGGCCCCGCGATAACAAATGGCGCTTCGGCTTCACCGCGTCCTGCCTCACCCTCGGTACCGGCGGGGAGATGGGCAGGGACCGGGCTGAGGCTGGGGTTCAGAGGGCAGGACCGGGCTCAAACGGGGTCCGGGGCAGCGGGACCGGGTTTAAAGAGGGTCTTAAGGGGGCAGGTGTGGGCTCAGCCCGGGCTGAAGAGCACCGGACCGGGCTCAAACCGGGTCCAGAGGAGCGGGGTCAGGCTCAGAGCGCGCCTACGAGGGCAGAATCAGGCTCAGGGGAGCGGGACTGAGCTGAGACAGGGCTCAGACCGGGGGGCACGGGAGTAGGGATGGGCTGAGACGGGAGCCAGGGCAACGGGACCGGGCTCAGACTGAGCCCAAGGGAGCAGGGACCCGGCCCAGCCGCAGCCTCGGGCAGTGGGGCTGGGCTGAGCCTCCTCCCGCCCCGCAGGCTCCGTGATCATGGCAGCTGGGTGCCTGTTCCCGTTGCGCGCCGTGCGCAGGGTGACGCTGCTGCGGGGCGGCACCGACGTCTCCATCAGCACCCACGGGCCGCTGGGGCTGGGGCAGGGCCCCACCATCACCGTGCCCCTGCGCCACGTGTGCTGCCGCTCCCACCGCTCCGAGGTGCCGGCCGCCATCCCCCTCAAGGTGAAGGGGCGCCCCTTCTTCTTCCTGCTGGACAAGGAGGGGCAGGTCTGCAACCCCCGGCTCTTCGATGTCACCGTCGGCGCTTACCGCAACCTCTAGGCCGTGGAAACGCTGGCTCCCAATAAAGCTCCATCCACCACGTGTCCTGCTCGGTCACTGGCAATGCGGGGAGCCCCCAGCACAGAATCCCTCCTCCATAGACTCGGCTGTGTTGAGCTCCATCGTGCTCTTCCTCCTCCCCAGCACGTTGGTCATCCCTAAGGGCAGCTGGAGCCGCTGTGGTGGCTTCAGTGGAGCCCTCTCACCTCCTCATTAGCCTCAATCATCCCATTAACTCCAACTCCCCCCCTCCTCTGGGATCCGTGGGCACTTTCACCCTTGCCTCCTCATCCTCGTGCCCATCCTGCAGGACCGGTTCCTCCCCAAGGACACATCTGGGGCATTCTGAAGCCATTTGGGGTGCGGGGTTGGGGCCAGCAGAGCTGCAGATTGGGGAGCGGTGTTGGGAAAGGGCTCAGAGCACTTTTGGGGTGTGTAAAGGGCTAATCCTGGGGTCTGAGGTGGGAGCTCCCCCATTGCCCCCGCTCCCAGCCGCATCCCCGAGGCCAGCGAGGGGTGGAGCTGGGCCCCCTTCAACCTGCAGGACCCCTTTGAGCTGAGCCACAACGTGGCAGCCAACGTCAACAAGAAAACAGCGTCGCGCTCTGGGTGCTGCTGCCACGCCGCCGCCAAGTCCTGCGGTACCGGCAGGAAGCCAGCAAGGGTCGGGCCTGGGGGCTCACACGGCTCTTCCAGCCGGGAGCAGTGGAGCCGGGAGCAGGGAACGCCGGCGCTTTCCTCCTCAACATTCCCCTGGGCTCCACTGGAGGCCCCGAGCAGCTCGGCCGGGAGCCCCGTGGCCGCGGCCCATGGTTCTGGGAGGTCTGTGCCGCCATCGGCTTCGTGTTGAGGGACGTTCTCAAGTGCAGCTGCACCGCAGGGAACGCACCGGGAGCTCCCGGCGAGGAGTTGGGGCTCTCGGGGGACTCAGCGCTGCCTGAGGAGCCGCCAATGGGCCCGGACGCAGCGGAGGAGCCGCTGGCAGTGGGCTGCAAGCGTCGTGCTCCCGAGGCACCCAACGGCACCGCGTGGCACCGGGTGTGGACGGGCCGACGCCGCGGCCACCGGCAGCTGCAGCACAGCGATGGCTCGGAGGGCGATGAGCTGGACCTGGAGCAAAGGGTGTCAGAAGCCATCGTGCAGCGCACGCTTTGAGGCCAGCGCACGGGTGGGGGGCACCCGGTGGGTGCTGCTGCGCCTGCTCCCGTCCCCAGCTCCCCCTCCCGGGGCTCTGTTTCGGGGCTTTTTCCACTTGGTTTTCTCCCCGCCGCGGTGCGGAGGCGCCTGGGCCGGGGGCTGCGGGGGGGTTCAGGCCCCCAGGACGGGGGGGACCAAGGGGAGGTTTCTACACCCTGATGTGGGTTTGCTGCAGTAAAAGATTTGGTTTTGACCGTAGAGGTCGCGAGGGGAGAACCGGGGGGAGGATTTAGGGGGGGGGGGGGGGGAGGAAATAACGGAGACAGTTAGGAAACGGGGCGCGATGGCAAAGGGCGGGGGCGTGGCATGCAAATGTAACATTAAAATAGAGACGGGTGTGGGCGTGGCTATGCTAATTGACAGCACAAGGCGGGAAGGGGACGCCGGGAGACTCCGCTTGGGAAGGGTTCCTGGAGCTCGGGGGGAGTCGGTGCCCACGGAGCCGGGACGAGCGGTGCGGGAGCAGCGGGGGAAAACGGAGGGGGAAACGGGAGGGAGCGCGGAGCGGGGTGGCCGTGATGTGGGGCGGAGCGGCCGCCGTTGGGGGTCATGGTGAGAGGTGATGGAGGTATCGCTTCTCGGCCTTTTGGCTAAGATCAAGTGTAGTATCTGTTCTTATCAGTTTAATATCTGATACGTCCTCGATGAGAGGACTTTATATTAAACGGATTTTTGGTCGTGGGAGTCGGAGGCGGAGCTTGCTCCATCCGCTCCGCGCATCGTCCCGGTATTGCAGCGCCTCCGGGCTCGGTGCACCCCTGCGGGGGACCTTGTGGTGGTCAAAGACAGAGCGGAGCCGTGGGGCCGTGGTGGGTTCGCAGCGCTCTCCGTGTGCTGTGGGTGCTGCTGCTCCGGTCGCGGTTAACTCGTACCCGCTCTGTGGGTAGACCTCGTGTCCCGGCCACGGTCTCCGGAGCAGCTCCCACAGGAGCCAGGCTGAGAGCATTGGGGCTGGAGAAGAGAAGTTGCGAGGAGAGCTCAGAGGCTGAAGGGGGCTGCAAGGATGCTGGGAGGGACCTGCAGCAGGAACTGGAGCGATGGGACAAGGGGTGATGGGGTCAGACTGGAACAGGGCACATTTAGGCTGGATTTAAGGAAGCTCTTCCCTGTGAGGGTGCTGAGGCGCTGGCACAGGGTGCCCGGAGAAGCTGTGGCTGCCCCATCGCTGGCAGTGCTCAAGGGCACAGGGGCTTGGAGCAAGCTGCTCCAGTGGAACGGGTCCCTGCCCGTGGCGGGGGCTGTGATTGGAAGAGCTTTAAGGTCCAAGACTTCATAATGCTTGGCTCTGTCTTTAACCAAGATAAGAATCCCTCCTCCACAGACTCAGCTGTGCTGAGCTCCATCGTGCTCTTCCTCATCCCTAAGGGCAGCTGGAGCCGCTGTGGAGGCTTCAGTGGAGCCCTCTCACCTCCTCGTTAGCCTCAATCACCCCATTAGCTCCAACTCCCCCCCTCCTCTGGGATCAGTGGGCACTTTCACCCTTGCCTCCTGCGCTGGTTTAAACCCAGTCAGCCATAAATCACGCAGTCGCTCTCTCACTCCCCCCCTTTTTGCCCTTCCCCAGCTCCCGGAGGGATGGAGAGGAGAATCAAAAGAATGCAACTCCCCTGGGTTGGGATCAGAACAGTTTAGTCACTAAGGTATAACACAGATCACTGCTGCTGCCACCAATGATAACAATGATGAAGGAGATAACAAGGGAAGAGAATACATCACCTCACCAGCACCCAACTGATAACTCGCCCCAGCCCGTCTGACTGAGCACCAACCCATACCTGTACCACCCCGCAGTGCCCCAGCCCTTCCGGCTAACTCCCAGTTACATCCTGTTCATGACGTGCTGTGCTATGGAATACCTCTTTGGTCAGTTTGGGTCAGGTGTCCTGTCCCTGCTTCCTCCCGGCTTCCCCTCCTCCCTGGCAGCGCAGGAGGCTCACAAAGTCCTCGGTCAGACCAAACATTTGAGCAGTAACTGAAACACCGGTGTTATCAGCGCTGTTCCCAGGCCGAAAGTCTGCACCAGCTATCAAGGAGAAAAGTGACTGCTACTGCTTAACCCAGGGCATCATCCCATGCCTATGATCCCAACAAAGCTCCATCCACCGCGTGTCCTCCTCGGTCACTGGCAATACGGGAAGCCCCCAGCCCAGAATCCCTCCTCCATAGACTCGGCTGTGCTGAGCTCCATCGTGCTCTTCCTCCTCCCCAGCACGTTGGTCATCCCTAAAGGCAGCTGGAGCCGCTGTGGTGGCTTCAGTGGAGCCCGGTCACCTCCTCATGAGCCTCAATCATCCCATTAACTCCAACTCCCCCCCTCCTCTGGGATCCGTGGGCACTTTCACCCTTGCCTCCTCATCCTCGTGCCCATCCTGCAGGACCGGTTCCTCCCCAAGGACACATCTGGGGCATTCTGAAGCCATTTCGGGTGCGGGGTTGGGGCCAGCAGAGCTGCAGATTGGGGAGCGGTGTTGGGAAAGGGCTCAGAGCACTTTTGGGGTGTGTAAAGGGCTAATCCTGGGGTCTGAGGTGGGAGCTCCCCCATTGCCCCCGCTCCCAGCCGCATCCCCGAGGCCAGCGAGGGGCTGGAGCTGGGCCCCCTTCAACCTGCAGGACCCCTTTGAGCTGAGCCACAACATGGCAGCCAACGTCAACGAGAAAACAGCGTCGCGCTCTGGGTGCTGCTGCCACGCCGCCGCCAAGTCCTGCGGTACCGGCAGGAAGCCAGCAAGGGTCGGGCCTGGGGGCTCACACGGCTCTTCCAGCCGGGAGCAGTGGAGCCAGGAGCAGGAAACGCCGGTGCTTTCCTCATCAACATTCCCTTGGGCTCCACTGGAGGCTGTGAGCAGCTCGGCCGGGAGCCCCGTGGCCGCGGCCCATGGTTCTGGGAGGTCTGTGCCGCCATCGGCTTCGTGTTGAGGGACGTTCTCAAGTGCAGCTGCACCGCAGGGAAGGCACCGGGAGCTCCCGGCGAGGAGTTGGGGCTCTCGGGGGACTCGGAGCTGCCTGAGGTGCCGCCAATGGGCCCGGACGCAGCGGAGGAGCCGCTGGCAGTGGGCTGCAAGCGTCGTGCTCCCGAGGCACCCAACGGCACCGCGTGGCACCGGGTGTGGACGGGCCGACGCCGCGGCCACCGGCAGCTGCAGCACAGCGATGGCTCGGAGGGCGATGAGCTGGACCTGGAGCAAAGGGTGTCAGAAGCCATCGTGCAGCGCACGCTTTGAGGCCAGCGCACGGGTGGGGGGCACCCGGTGGGTGCTGCTGCGCCTGCTCCCGTCCCCAGCTCCCCCCCCCGGGGCTCTGTTTCGGGGCTTTTTCCACTTGGTTTTCTCCCCACCGCGGTGCGGAGGCGCCTGGGCTGGGGGCTGCGGGGGGGTTCAGGCCCCCAGGACGGGGGGGACCAAGGGGAGGTTTCTACACCCTGATGTGGGTTTGCTGCAGTAAAAGATTTGGTTTTGACCGTAGAGGTCGCGAGGGGAGAACCGGGGGGAGGATTTAGGGGGGGGGGGGGGGGAGGAAATAACGGAGACAGTTAGGAAACGGGGCGCGATGGCAAAGGGCGGGGGCGTGGCATGCAAATGTAACATTAAAATAGAGACGGGTGTGGGCGTGGCTATGCTAATTGACAGCACAAGGCGGGAAGGGGACGCCGGGAGACTCCGCTTGGGAAGGGTTCCTGGAGCTCGGGGGGAGTCGGTGCCCACGGAGCCGGGACGAGCGGTGCGGGAGCAGCGGGGGAAAACGGAGGGGGAAACGGGAGGGAGCGCGGAGCGGGGTGGCCGTGATGTGGGGCGGAGCGGCCGCCGTTGGGGGTCATGGTGAGAGATGGTCGAGGTATCGCTTCTCGGCCTTTTGGCTAAGATCAAGTGTAGTATCTGTTCTTATCAGTTTAATATCTGATACGTCCTCGATGAGACGACTTTATATTAAACGGATTTTTGGGCGTGGGAGTCGGAGGCGGAGCTTGCTCCATCCGCTCCGCGCATCGTCCCGGTATTGCAGCGCCTCCGGGCTCGGTGCACCCCTGCGGGGGACCTTGTGGTGGTCAAAAACAGAGCGAGGGCTTCGGGCAATGGTGGGTTCGTAGCGCTCTCCGTGTGCTGTGGGTGCTGCTGCTCCGGTCGCGGTTAACTCGTACCCGCTCTGTGGGGAGACCTCGTGTCCCGGCCACGGTCTCCGGAGCAGCTCCCACAGGAGCCAGGCTGAGAGCATTGGGGCTGGAGAAGAGAAGTTGCGAGGAGAGCTCAGAGGCTGAAGGGGGCTGCAAGGATGCTGCGGAGGGACCTGCAGCAGGAACTGGAGCGATGGGACGAGGGGTGATGGGGTCAGACTGGAACAGGGCACATTTAGAGTGGATTTAAGGAAGCTCTTCCCTGTGAGGGTGCTGAGGCGCTGGCACAGGGTGCCCGGAGAAGCTGTGGCTGCCCCATCCCTGGCAGTGTTCAAGGGCGCAGGGGCTTGGAGCAAGCTGCTCCAGTGGAAGGGGTCCCTGCCCGTGGCGGGGGCTGTGATTGGAAAAGCTTTAAGGTCCAAGACTTCATAATGCTTGGCTCTGTCTTTAACCAAGATAAGAATCCCTCCTCCACAGACTCAGCTGTGCTGAGCTCCATCGTGCTCTTCCTCATCCCTAAGGGCAGCTGGAGCCGCTGTGGAGGCTTCAGTGGAGCCCTCTCACCTCCTCGTTAGCCTCAATCACCCCATTAGCTCCAACTCCCCCCCTCCTCTGGGATCAGTGGGCACTTTCACCCTTGCCTCCTGCGCTGGTTTAAACCCAGTCAGCCATAAATCACGCAGTCGCTCTCTCACTCCCCCCCTTTTTGCCCTTCCCCAGCTCCCGGAGGGATGGAGAGGAGAATCAAAAGAATGCAACTCCCCTGGGTTGGGATCAGAACAGTTTAGTCACTGAGGTATAACACAAATCACTGCTGCTGCCACCAATGATAACAATGATGAAGGAGATAACAAGGGAAGAGAATACATCACCTCACCAGCACCCAACTGATAACTCGCCCCAGCCCGCCTGACTGAGCACCAACCCATACCTGTACAACCCCGCAGTGCCCCAGCCCTTCCGGATAACTCCCAGTTACATCCTGTTCATGACGTGCTGCGGTATGGAATACCTCTTTGGTCAGTTTGGGTCAGGTGTCCTGTCTCTGCTTCCTCCCGGCTTCCCCTCCTCCCTGGCAGCGCAGGAGGCTCACAAAGTCCTTGATCAGACCAAACATTTGAGCAGTAACTGAAACACCGGTGTTATCAGCGCTGTTCCCAGGCCGAAAGTCTGCACCAGCTATCAAGGAGAAAAGTGACTGCTACTGCTTAACCCAGGGCATCATCCCATGCCTATGATCCCAACAAAGCTCCATCCACCGCGTGTCCTGCTCGGTCACTGGCAATACGGGAAGCCCCCAGCCCAGAATCCCTCCTCCATAGACTCGGCTGTGCTGAGCTCCATCGTGCTCTTCCTCCTCCCCAGCACGTTGGTCATCCCTAAAGGCAGCTGGAGCCGCTGTGGTGGCTTCAGTGGAGCCCGGTCACCTCCTCATGAGCCTCAATCATCCCATTAACTCCAACTCCCCCCCTCCTCTGGGATCCGTGGGCACTTTCACCCTTGCCTCCTCATCCTCGTGCCCATCCTGCAGGACCGGTTCCTCCCCAAGGACACATCTGGGGCATTCTGAAGCCATTTCGGGTGCGGGGTTGGGGCCAGCAGAGCTGCAGATTGGGGAGCGGTGTTGGGAAAGGGCTCAGAGCACTTTTGGGGTGTGTAAAGGGCTAATCCTGGGGTCTGAGGTGGGAGCTCCCCCATTGCCCCCGCTCCCAGCCGCATCCCCGTGCACGGCCAGCGAGGGGCTGGAGCTGGGCCCCCTTCAACCTGCAGGACCCCTTTGAGCTGAGCCACAACATGGCAGCCAACGTCAACGAGAAAACAGCGTCGCGCTCTGGGTGCTGCTGCCACGCCGCCGCCAAGTCCTGCGGTACCGGCAGGAAGCCAGCAAGGGTCGGGCCTGGGGGCTCACACGGCTCTTCCAGCCGGGAGCAGTGGAGCCAGGAGCAGGAAACGCCGGTGCTTTCCTCATCAACATTCCCTTGGGCTCCACTGGAGGCTGTGAGCAGCTCGGCCGGGAGCCCCGTGGCCGCGGCCCATGGTTCTGGGAGGTCTGTGCCGCCATCGGCTTCGTGTTGAGGGACGTTCTCAAGTGCAGCTGCACCGCAGGGAAGGCACCGGGAGCTCCCGGCGAGGAGTTGGGGCTCTCGGGGGACTCGGAGCTGCCTGAGGTGCCGCCAATGGGCCCGGACGCAGCGGAGGAGCCGCTGGCAGTGGGCTGCAAGCGTCGTGCTCCCGAGGCACCCAACGGCACCGCGTGGCACCGGGTGTGGACGGGCCGACGCCACGGCCACCGGCAGCTGCAGCACAGCGATGGCTCGGAGGGCGATGAGCTGGACCTGGAGCAAAGGGTGTCAGAAGCCATCGTGCAGCGCACGCTTTGAGGCCAGCGCACGGGTGGGGGGCACCCGGTGGGTGCTGCTGCGCCTGCTCCCGTCCCCAGCTCCCCCCCCCGGGGCTCTGTTTCGGGGCTTTTTCCACTTGGTTTTCTCCCCACCGCGGTGCGGAGGCGCCTGGGCTGGGGGCTGCGGGGGGGTTCAGGCCCCCAGGACGGGGGGGACCAAGGGGAGGTTTCTACACCCTGATGTGGGTTTGCTGCAGTAAAAGATTTGGTTTTGACCGTAGAGGTCGCGAGGGGAGAACCGGGGGGAGGATTTAGGGGGGGGGGGGGGGGAGGAAATAACGGAGACAGTTAGGAAACGGGGCGCGATGGCAAAGGGCGGGGGCGTGGCATGCAAATGTAACATTAAAATAGAGACGGGTGTGGGCGTGGCTATGCTAATTGACAGCACAAGGCGGGAAGGGGACGCCGGGAGACTCCGCTTGGGAAGGGTTCCTGGAGCTCGGGGGGAGTCGGTGCCCACGGAGCCGGGACGAGCGGTGCGGGAGCAGCGGGGGAAAACGGAGGGGGAAACGGGAGGGAGCGCGGAGCGGGGTGGCCGTGATGTGGGGCGGAGCGGCCGCCGTTGGGGGTCATGGTGAGAGATGGTCGAGGTATCGCTTCTCGGCCTTTTGGCTAAGATCAAGTGTAGTATCTGTTCTTATCAGTTTAATATCTGATACGTCCTCGATGAGAGGACTTTATATTAAACGGATTTTTGGGCGTGGGAGTCGGAGGCGGAGCTTGCTCCATCCGCTCCGCGCATCGTCCCGGTATTGCAGCGCCTCCGGGCTCGGTGCACCCCTGCGGGGGACCTTGTGGTGGTCAAAAACAGAGCGAGGGCTTCGGGCAATGGTGGGTTCGTAGCGCTCTCCGTGTGCTGTGGGTGCTGCTGCTCCGGTCGCGGTTAACTCGTACCCGCTCTGTGGGGAGACCTCGTGTCCCGGCCACGGTCTCCGGAGCAGCTCCCACAGGAGCCAGGCTGAGAGCATTGGGGCTGGAGAAGAGAAGCCGCGAGGAGAGCTCAGAGGCTGAAGGGGGCTGCAAGGATGCTGCGGAGGGACCTGCAGCAGGAACTGGAGCGATGGGACGAGGGGTGATGGGGTCAGACTGGAACAGGGCACATTTAGAGTGGATTTAAGGAAGCTCTTCCCTGTGAGGGTGCTGAGGCGCTGGCACAGGGTGCCCGGAGAAGCTGTGGCTGCCCCATCCCTGGCAGTGTTCAAGGGCGCAGGGGCTTGGAGCAAGCTGCTCCAGTGGAAGGGGTCCCTGCCCGTGGCGGGGGCTGTGATTGGAAGAGCTTTAAGGTCCAAGACTTCATAATGCTTGGCTCTGTCTTTAACCAAGATAAGAATCCCTCCTCCACAGACTCAGCTGTGCTGAGCTCCATCGTGCTCTTCCTCATCCCTAAGGGCAGCTGGAGCCGCTGTGGAGGCTTCAGTGGAGCCCTCTCACCTCCTCGTTAGCCTCAATCACCCCATTAGCTCCAACTCCCCCCCTCCTCTGGGATCAGTGGGCACTTTCACCCTTGCCTCCTGCGCTGGTTTAAACCCAGTCAGCCATAAATCACGCAGTCGCTCTCTCACTCCCCCCCTTTTTGCCCTTCCCCAGCTCCCGGAGGGATGGAGAGGAGAATCAAAAGAATGCAACTCCCCTGGGTTGGGATCAGAACAGTTTAGTCACTAAGGTATAACACAGATCACTGCTGCTGCCACCAATGATAACAATGATGAAGGAGATAACAAGGGAAGAGAATACATCACCTCACCAGCACCCAACCGATAACTCGCCCCAGCCCGTCTGACTGAGCACCAACCCATACCTGTACAACCCCGCAGTGCCCCAGCCCTTCCGGATAACTCCCAGTTACATCCTGGGCATGACGTGCTGTGCTATGGAATACCTCTTTGGTCAGTTTGGGTCAGGTGTCCTGTCCC